CTTTAAAGTTTAAACTCTACTTGCTTTCATGTGTTACTGCCAGCTAGGTAATTGCTGTGTTAACTAAGTTACTGGAGGTTTAACACATGAGTGAAAGCAAGTAGAACAGCAATCACGACGACTACGATTCCTGACTTCCTCTTTTTTTTTCTTTTTTTTTTTTAAATGCTTGCCGGTAATAAGTAACCGGACTGCCCCCCACGCAGACTATATAGGGGTATTGTACTTTGTTATTAAAAAAAAAAAAAAAAAAAAAAAAAAAAACAGCAATCACACAAGCACACTGTACTGAAAGAGCAGGTACACCGACATAGCTGTCAAAAAGCATCAAGTAGTTAATTCAACAACAATCAGAAAGTCGCCAGGGGAGACTCCAGAAGATGAGGCGCATCCACCGTCATAGCCGCGCATGTCCAGTACATGGCCCCAGCCTTGCTGAAAATATTTTTCTTCGTCTACTCCAAAAATTCCACGCCTCGGGCCTATCGGGGGCCAAGTCCCACTTACCCCAATGATCGATCTCTGACCGCAGATTCGGAAGATCAACGACCGGGAATCAAGGATCAGCGTAAGTGGGACTTGGCCCCGGGCCTATCAGGCCACAATGGCTGGCGGCGCAAGCTAAAAAAAAGAAAAAAAAGAAAGTGCGCCACTGGCGGTTTTGCAAAGCTTGGCGCGCAGTGGAGCTCCTCCGGGCCCGGGTACCAGTTCACACGAGCCACAGTTGATCAAGCTGCCTGCCTTCCAAGGCTACCGCCGTCACCCCCGAATAGAACGCCCGGTCATGATCGCTGTATTCGGTGCAAATTTCAGTCTAGATGCATCAGTAATGACAGGGCGTTCTATTCGGGTGAAGATGGTTGCGAGCCTGAGACTGCGCCTTTTGGCGCAGGGCCGACGCCAAGTGCTCACTCAGCGTGCGTGCACCGGAGCTGAGTACGGAGCTGAGTACGGAGCTGAGTACGGAGCTGAGTACGGAGCTGAGTACGGAGCTGAGTACTTAGTGCTAATTACTAAGTATGGTTCGTCTGAACTACCTTCTTCCCCCGAATACAACGTACGGCCATTATAGCTGCATTTGAGGCATCTTTCAGTTTTGATACAGCTATAATGACCGTACGTTGTATTCGGGGGAAGAAGGTAGTGCTTTACATTAACTTACAGAGACTTTTGTGACAGACTGACAGTCATAATTAACTCATGATAAACGCATATCATCAACCCCCACCTGCGTGGGGAACTCATGGATTACTTAACTGTGAAGTTAACTTTATCACCAGCGACTCACACACATTTTAACAGCATTCATGAATTTACCGCGAGGGTTCGTGATGAGTTTACCATGGGTTAATTTTGTTGTGAAAGTCTTCAGAATTCATTAGGTCATGATTAACCATACACAACCCCAATGGTGAACGCACACATGGATTACTCGACCGTGTCCGTTCATCGTTAGCAGCAGCAACTTACATTTCAAAAACGCATGGAATAAATTCGTTACCTTGGTCCTTCTTCTTCTTCTTCTTCTTCTTTTCTTCTTCTTCCTCTTTTCTTCTTCTTCTTCTTCTTGTTCTTGTTCTTGTTCTTGTTCTTCTTGTTAGCTCGCAGGTAAGTGATGAGTTAACAGACAGTTACGTCTGGCAGCTAAGTGATGTGTTAAAACACAATTACTAGTCTCGTAGGTAAAACCCACCCCGTTAAACTGCTACTAGGTGGGAGAGCCTTTCGTTTTTCACCAACTGGTCAGCAAAATAGACCCTGGTTCAGCCCATGGTTAACTCCTGGGCCTTTTTTGGGGGCAACAAGTTAATCCACAGGGTTATCAAACACGAGTTCAAACGTTTGAATAATCCTCCAGGGGGGTTCCAACCCCGACTCATTAATTACCCTGTCATTATGAGCCTCTCACGTTAGGAATGCTCACTGATTCATCAACAGCGAGAGAGAGAGAGAGACAGACAGACAGACAGACAGACAGACAGACAGACAGACAGACAGACAGACAGACAGACAGAAAAAGAGAGAGACACAGAGAGAGAGACAGACAGACAGACAGACAGAAAAAGAGAGAGACACAGAGAGAGAGACACACACAGAGAGAGAGAGAGAGAGAGAGAGAGGAACGGGGGTTATTGAACTGGTCATTTATGTATTAATCAACAGCTTGAGAGAGTGAGAGAGAGACAAACTCAATTATTGTCATGGAAGATGAAGACAGAGAGAGAGAATGACAGAGATACAAACAGAGAGAGAGAAGAGAGAGGGAGAGAGAGACAGGACCGGGGAGTTTCCCTACCGGTAATCAGCTAAGGGCATGTTAGCTTGCTCCCCAGTAGGATACTGACGAACTGGGGAGCAAGCTAACATGCATGCCCCCTCGAGCTTGCTCCCCAACAGAATATTGAGGGGTCGGTCGGTATATACTTCATGGTATACTGACGTAGTGTATATACCGACAGCCCCCTCAATATTGCACAACGTCTTATGTGCCTGTGAAAAAGACTTGAGCAGTTCACACCCTCCTCGGGGAATGCAATACCATGAGGAGCTAGCTACTTTCACTACCATACAATTATATGATTTTTCAAGTACTGCTCTCGTTTTTTTTTTTTTCTTTCTATCTTTATGTACTTTTATGAACTTTTATTTTGATTATTATTATTATTATTATTATTATTATATTATTATAATTACTATGCCTAGGTGCCAGTTTATGAGGCAAGAGCACAGAACAGGACAACTGCAACCCAATAAAGGGCTGTCCATTTGGCATTTCAACTTCGTTTGTTAGTATTATTACTGTTATTATTATTAATTTAATAATTTTATCACTACATTACATTCCAGTGCATTATTATATTGTTATATTCTTATAACATTGATTATCGAATTATCTTTTATTTTTACGAAATTTTATCATGAGTTTTTTTTACTATCTTCATTATAGAGAAAGAAAACACTCTCACCCATGGCCGCCAATTGCCCCACCGTCAGATCCGGTTGCACTCTGAGATCTAGCTGTATCGCTGAGCGCCCTTTTGATCGGTATTTCACGATTACAGTTTGAGTGTGTCCAGGTTCATGCCCCCTGACAACACCAGAAGCAGTACCCTCCTCGCCGTGGTTTTGGCTTTCACAGCCAACCTCCTCAGTCTCTGACGTGGCAGACTGTCCAGATTCATCCCCCCTGACCCCACCACGTAACTCCGCTCGACTTCCTCCCGCCGATCCCCTGGCGCTTGCGGCCGCCATTGGCGCGCCCCTCCCCCTTTTCCTTCTCTCTCCCGCGCTCCTTTCCCTCCTTTCTCCTGCGCTCCTTTACTTCTTTCTCCCGCCTTCTCCCGCGCTCCTTTGCCTCCTTTCTCCCGCGCTCCTTTCTTCCTCCCGCGCTCTTTTTCCTCCTCTCTCCCGCGCTCCTTTCCCTCCTTTCTCTCCCGCGCTCTTTTCCTCCTTTCTCCCGCGCTCTTTTCCTCCTTTCTCCCGCGCTCCTTTCCCTCCTTTCTCCCGCGCTCTTTTCCTCCTTTCGTTCTTCCCGCGCTCTTTTCCTCCTTTCTCCCACGCTCCTTTCCCTCCTTTCTCCCGCGCTCTTTTCCTCCTTTCGTTCTTCCCGCGCTCCTTCCCTCCTTTCTCCCGCGCTCCTTTCCTTCTTTCTCCCGCGCTCCTTTCCTTCTTTCTCCCGCGCTCCTCGCCTCCCTTCGTTCTTCCCGCGCTCCTTCCCTCCTTTCTCCCGCGCTCTCTCCCGCAGTCCCAAGACAACACGAATGATCGTACAATGATTATACCGATCGGGATCGCGATGGCCTTGATGACGATCGTGTATGTTCAATTGCACATACACGTGCACTTGAGGAGTTGATGACGATTGCGACGACCGGGATCGCGGTGGCCTTGATGACGATTGCGACGACCGGGCTCGCGGTGGCCTTGATGACGATTGCGACGATCAGGATCGCGGTGGCCTTGATGACGATCGCGACGATGGTCTTGTACTTGAGTTGACAACGATTGCGATGATCGGGATCGCGTTGATAGGGATCGCGGTGTCCTTGATGACGGTTGCGACAATTACGCGTCCTCATGTCGGGGCGGGGTTGTCACACAAAGCTTCCCGCTCGTCCTGCACGCGTGGATTCAAAGCAAGCGTTGTTGTTAAGCCACGTGGAACGCGTGGTTAATTAAACCCCCATCAAGAAAACAGAGAGACTAAA